TTCTTGTACAAGTATTTGAACGTGAAATTAATAATGTATTCAAGAGTTACTTTGGCTTAAAGATCATCTTTGTTGTTGGACTTTCATCCTTATTCAATCATGATGATTATCTTTCTCCTCCTCGTGTTTCATCATCTTTGGTTAATCACTCCTAATTTGATATACTCGAGTATGTCTTGTTGAAGATACACCTACATCATTGAATATAATACCTTTCCGACACTTCTCAGATAAAACATTAGTAATCATAAACACACTTTTACCAATTAAAGAAACACAAAGAGTTATCCTTTTTGGCAACACAATCTTCCTTGCTTGTTATATAGATCAACAACATAAGACCATGTCACTTTATTATGCCTCGATCTTCCATAAATGAGATCTCATACTCTCTTAATAGAGTCAAGACATCTTTTTTCTGCATGATTAACAATTAGTGCTAGGTACCCAATCTTCATTGGGTCCTTAGGGATTAGTGACATTTTGGTTACATTTAGGCATCCATTAAAAGACACCTTTAGGAACGTGATCAGTTGGACGATAATGAACACAAATTGTTCAACAACGATTAATTCACAAATTAATTAAATGATAAGCTACACGTAGAGCTTATTTCCAATGATAAAAAATTCAATTAAAAGCAATTGAAGCAATTTATCGAACAGCTTGAGTGCAATCGATAACATTGGAAATTTAATTTGATTTGTTTATGCTAAAACCAATCAAAATCAAAGTAATTATGATTATATTAACAAATCGTAATTCAAAAAGCAATAAAAAATTTGATCTCCAAACGAATTGATCCAAACAACAAAGATTCGACAATTTGCAAGTACAAAACTTACACACACACACACACACGCACAAACACACACACACACACACACACCCACACCCCCCCCCACACACACACACACACACACACACACACACACACACACACACACACACACACACACACACACACACACACACACACACACACACACACACACACACATATATATATATATATATATATATATATATATATATATATATATATATATATATATATATATATATATATATATATAGAGAGAGAGAGAGAGAGAGAGAGAGAGAGAGAATGATTTAATTAGACAGTTCCCCAATCGGTCTTGTTATGGGTACATCTGCCTTAATTCAAATTCGAATTGAGATAGTTACAATTTAACCTTACTTTGCAAACAATGTATATACAAGATATGAAGAACTCTAACCCTACAAACCCTATGATTTGTTGTTAATTCTACCACCTCCAAAACCCTTGATCAAAGATTGATCAAGTAACCAACAAAGCTGCTATAATCCACCTGTCCTTGTTACTAGCTTGCAAGACATCCTCGTCTTCAAGGTTTTTGCTTGGTCAAATTAATCCCTAGCACGCATTTGTTGAACCAAATACTCACAAACACGACTCACTGTTTCACACTACTCCCTTGCAAGGTACACCCTACCTTTTCCTGATGCCTTTTCACTCGATCGAATTCGTATTGCGTGATCTTGTCCAAAACCTTCAAATCCCAATGAACTTAAAGAAAAACCCCAACTTGGTTTTCTTATTTGAAATACACAAAAAACTCAACCCAATATTCTCGGTTACACTAACCTAATTGGATTTTATCAACCCTAATCTTGATGGTCACCTAATCAAAAAATGATTATGTGCTGTTTGATTGTGTGTATGCATATAAGGGAGGATGAAAATGATGGGTCTGGTTTATAATTCAGATTTCGTTTAGGTTTTAGACTAGTACCTTGCTAGAATATGATGCATGCATGAGTATTTATATGTATATATGATATGGAACAAAAGGCATGCATGAAGAAATGAAAGGAAAAACAAAATTTCAAAATTTGCACATTATAGGTCGACCTGTGAATGTGATGTGTCGGCCTGTAAAGGTCTTAGGTCGGCCTATTAGACACGACCTATCAAACAGAAGCTACAACCTTCATTATTGAGGCATGAGTGTCGACCTGTAAAAGCTTTGTGTCGACCTATACTGAAGCTAAGGCTTCTATAGGTCGACATAAACACGTATGTCTCGACCTATGCAGTGGTTTTCACACTCAAACTCAATTTTTGAAGCATCCCATCCAATCAATTTCAAATATGTTTGTATGCATCATAAGGTTAAGATGATCAATTCACATCTAAGATTGGGTTGATACTGTCCAATATACAAAAACGCTAAATTACTCTTAATTTTGACACCATTCAAAATATAACTATATGAAAGAATGAACTCACACCTTTAATTACATAAGATTTTTCATAAGCACGGTTCAATATCATAATGGTCATCGAACTTTAGACCTTAGAATGGTTGTTAGGTTGTGATTGCTCTCCACCATTGAAATTGGTAGCATTCACCTCTAAGAAATCTAAAAAATGCACTACACACCTTAATGTCGCATCACCTGTGATTCTCACTAACAAATTTACTCTCAAAGATGAACAGTAAATCACTCTAATTTGTTAGGACAAGAAACTATAAATTCAAAAAATTTTAGTTTATTTTATGAGCCAAAAAGACATTTATACAAAACTTACAAGACAAGTAACCTCCTAATTGAATATCAATTACAAATAACATAACTAACTAATTTTCAACTACTTAAAAATAAAATAAAAACCTTATATGTTTTATATTGAAATTGATATTTCTCTCATTGAATTTACATAGAATCCTTAAAATTTAGTGAGCCTCATTGTAATAATTGAAGGATTAGATGATCCGTTAACTGCCTAATATGACTTTAGTACTATATCACAAGTTGTCATACAATCCAATTCTCCAATGATTTTTAATCCATGCTAGTAGAAGGTCATCTCATAATTTGGTTTTTACTTATTGCCTTATTCATCCGACAATGAGTAATACTTTTTAATAGAACCGTTAGAATATATATATATATATATATATATATATATATATATATATATATATATATATATATATATATATATATATATATATATATATATATATATATATATATATATATATATATATATATATATATATATATATATATATATATATATATATATATATATATATAAACGAAATGTATGGTTTCCATTTGTAATCCTTAGGAATATAAATTAAGCATATGATTAGAGCGTGACACACTCATATCTTGACTTGTTGGTGGAGTAGTTTGGACTTTGAATTGAGTCACTATCAAGTAGTGGATATATAATCGGTGCATGACAGAGAATTAATCATTGTGTTTGATTAAAAGGGTTAAGTAAGATTAGGAGGCTGATTTGAGAGTTTGAGACCAATAAATCTAATTTTTCTTTTTAAAATTGACCGTTAATATGTTTAAGACCGTTAAGTGGGGAAAATAGTAATCAAAGAGTTCAATGCACTTTAGTAAAGAAAAGAACGTAATAGGTAATCAGCTCTCTTTTGCACTTTAATTAAAGAGGTTCGAATTCCATTAAAGTTGTTCTAAATACAAATAAAAAAGTTCAATCTTGTTTTGAATGAAAGATTTTGTGACGGTTTAATTACATCTTTAGAAGATATGACATTGATGATACGAAAATAGAATTGATTTTAATATGTTAAATCAGTTTATTTAATAGCTATGCATGGATGCAGATTTAAATTTATAACATTTAAAAAAAAAATTTCTTTAAGAATGAAATTTCAGTTTTTAATTTACTTTAAAAAAAAAATCCAATTTGATATATTTAGCTGCCTACCTTGAATTGATTTTACTTTAAGAAGTAATTCTAACTTAAAGTTAATAAATTGAGCTTTTAATATACATTTGCTATTGTCATTCAATTATTATTATTATTTTTTGGTAATGGAGAGCCCAAGAAAAGAGCAAACTACAAGGGAACTTTCCTATGGGAATAATCTCCACAATGTCTTTAACTAAAAAACGCTCAATGTAATTAGGAGCAACTATATAACTATGTAAATTATTACTCAATTTACATTCGGTTTGCAAGAGCATCCGCACATTGATTGAACTCTGTAAACGCATGAACAACAATGGCATCCTCAAACCTACTCAAAAGGCTACCAATCTTCTTAAGCATTTTCATACCTTCACTTCTTTTGGATCTCCCTTTGTTAATATCCATGACTATTTCGAAAGAATTCATATTAACTTCTATTTTTCCTGAATCCCAGATCAAGAGTGAACATCAAGCTTTCTAGTAAACCCTATAACTCTGCCATATAGCTATTGCAGATTCCCACATTCTTGGCAAAACCTCCTAACCAACATCCTCCTCGTCTCTTACAAGACCGCCACAACACGCACCAATACCCTCAATACAACACTCATCCACATTAAGATTTACCCAACCAGCTTTCCCTCAAATTAAAAAAATCATTGTGCATCTCAGTTGGCACTTTATTTACCCAAACTTCCATAGCACGAGGGCACTCATGAAACGCATGCAACATATTTTCATAAGTATGCCCACATAATTTACAATCCGACGAAACATAACCTTTCCTACTCTTGCTTTGATTAGTTAAAAGTCTATCGTGCTACATTAACCAAACAAAAAATTTTATTCTCTCAGGAACTTTTAATTTCCAAATGTTCTTCCAATCATAAGCAGCATTATTGTCTTCATGAGGCATCATTAACTTGTAAAAATGACTCATTGTCCCACAATTTACATTCGCTCCATGCATAACAAAAGTGTCCACGTCCTCATCACCATTAGGTGGCTGCAAGTTACTTATTTTATCTATGATCTCTTGAGGCATCCAATGTTGCAAAACATTCAGCTTCCAATCCCCACCATCAGTCACAAGATCCCGCAACGTAACTTCGCTAAGATTGTTTGGAATTTCCTGCACGTAATCCTTAATGCATAATTCCTCTTCAAGCCAAATATCATCCAAAGCAGTGATTCTACGACCATCACCCATTCTCAAATTCCCAGCATTCATCAAAATCGGGATATAGTTATTTATGGCCCTCCAACGACTCGATCATATTGTCTTCTTTATAGGATTTTTGCACAAGTGCACCTCCTTGTAGATTCCCTTTAGCATATTACACCATAAATCCTCAGCATCATTTATAAGCTTCCAACTCAATTTCATAATACACACTGCATTCATGGCGCCGAGGTCTTTAAGACCTAGACCATCATGATCCTTAAGAGTAGTAACTATATTCCAATTGACATCATGCAATTTCTTACTGCTAGTGGTATCCCCCCAAATGAAATTTCGCTGCATTTTCTGAATCTCTTTAATACAAGCTTTTGGAAGTAAGTTCGTCATCATTGGATAAATTGGTATAGCCTCAAGAACACTTTTGGCAAGAATAGTTTGGCCAGCAAACAACAATGACGACGCTTTCTAGTTCGAAAGTTTTGCAGCAACTTGATCAATTAAATATTGATAATTAGCTCGACACAAATTCTTCCCACTTAAAGGAACTCCCAAATACTTGACAAAATTATTATTCTCTCTAAATTTTGAAATGTGCAGGAGTTTTTGCCTTAAGCACCTGGAAACATTTTTTGAAAAAAGAATACTCGACTTTTCCTCACTCACCTCCTGGCCTGATAAGCTACAGAATTTATTAAGAGTATCCATAACACAAACCATTTTCTCCTCAGTAACTCCCACGATTTCTGGAAAAAAAAAACCCGCAGGAAATTCGTTGGGGTCAGGGGACTTCCAAGGTTTCATGGAAAACATGGCACATTTTATCTCAGCATCACTTATTGGCTCACTAAGCTTACTAAAATCCGCATCATCCAGCCTCGAGAAGGATATCTCAGTAGGCCGTCATTCTTTCCACAAATGTTTGGCAGCAAAGAAATTTATGAAGTAATCTTTGATCAACGTTTGAAGTTGATTAGTGTCCTAAATCCATTGACCAACATCATTTCTTACCATGCTGATTATATTTCTTCTTCTTTCATTGATAGTTTTCATGTGATAATATTTGGTATTTTGGTCTCCGTCCACTAACCATTTCGTTCTCGACCTTTGATACCACATTATTTCTTATTGCTTGAGGATGATATTTATATTAAATTGAAGCTTCTTCTCCAAGGTTTTCATTCTAGCATAATTGTCACTCCTCTGGATACAGCTTTGTGAAGGGAAATTGCGATCCAAAGTACAACGGAAAATAAAAAATTTCCTTTTAGTGATCCTTACGGACGATCATGATCAGTGATAGAACAGTTATCTCTTGTGGCGATGAAATCTTTGATTCTAAATTGAAGGAGTGATCACGAGTGATGTATGATGAACTGCACCTCTACTCAGTCTACACGAACAGATTCCTTCAGTCTCGGTGCTAGCTGCTACGATTGAAGGCTTTGAGTGAGAGAGAAAAAAATAGAAATATTGTCAGGGTTTCACCAACTGAATTTCATCAAGTTCAGAAAGCCTCTATGCAAGGGTTGTATTTATATAACCACTTGTGTGGGTTGCAAGTTAAAAAGCCCAACTTAAGTGCATCATATAATAATAATAATAATAATAATAATAATAATAATAATAATAATAATAATAATAATAATAATAATAATAATAATAATATTATTATTATTATTATTATTATTATCATTATTATAATAAATATATTTTACTATTATTATATTTAATATCTATAATAATAATAATAATAATAATAATAATAATAATAATAATAATAATAATAATAATAATAATAATAATAATAATAATAATAACAACAATAATATTAACTCTTATTTTTATATTATACGATGTTCTATATTTCACTTAAGTACACCGTACCGTACGGTGTTCCATAATTTTCTCAAGTACATTGTACCTCACAATGTTTCTTATTTATTCTATCTCTTATCAATTCGTTCTTATGTGTGTGATCTTGTAGGTTCTCGTGATGTTGATAATTATATTAAATCATATATTTAATATAATAAATAGTGACCGGTATCTAGCAATACATCACTGCTACCCAAGTCACGAAAATGTCATGTGATCTAACAAAACCTTTTGTGATAGTATTTGTGTGTATAATTACCCTTTTTCCCTTATATTTATATTAAACACAAGGCATATACCATGTCATCCTTGTCCAGTTCAATATTGGACCCTTAGACATTTATCCTATTATGCAGGATGTGCAAATTCTATCTAGATCACTCATGTTCCTCAGCATGCTTTGTGGAGTACCCATAAACTATCTTTATGGTCATCCAGTTACGGATAATGTTAGATCAGTAATAAAGTACTTGACTCTACATCTAGGGTCCATAGTGGTTTCAGGTCGAAGGGTGGTATACACCACTATCACCGTGAGAGTAACTTATGATACTTTGCATAATATTCTATGTAGTACTCTCATAGTGGGTTAATTCAGTATAAATATTACTCCTAATATTCATACCTATGTTAAGACTTGATAACTCAATATCCATGATCCATGAGATGTGATCATCAGTATATCTATATAATAGTATTAATGCTTTAAGGTTATCCCACTTCACAATAAAGCTCGGCTACAGATGCTTTAAGAATATTGTCCTTATGTTTAATAGGATCTCATGATTAAGTCACACTTAATATTTCATTAAACGAACTAGTTATTCTAGAGACTTTATTATTCTGGAAAAACAACCATAATAAATAAATGCCTTTTATTAATAATAAGTAATTCGATACAAGTAACAAAAGTATTAGCCTCTGTCGCTACTACGAAAATCGGCGCCGGCTATGACAGAAGAGTCTCCACCGTGCGTTATTTATCCCACAAGAGGGAAAGGAAACACTCAGAGTAAACCTAACACAAAGAGGGAAAGGAATGGTCATCGCAACCAAATCCTAAATTCGGGAGTTGGTTATGCAAGGGGTCCACGCTTGTTTTATATCTTATGGGTATGTTTATCTATCTACTCTAAAGGTCTGGGTTAAAAAGAAAATGAAAATGACTCGGCAAAGTATCGCACTTTATGCCTACGTATTCCCGTCAGGAACGAGAAATCAGAGTCAACATAGTTCGCCTAACTACGGGTTATGGGGGAAGGTTGCTTGCCGAGATGTCGCATCTCGTGCCTACGTACTTTCATACAGCATGAAAGATCAGAGCAAACGTAGTTCGGGCTACGGAAGACACAAGCTTGTCTGACAGTTTTTTATCTCCTTAAGAAAGGGTTTTCCGGATTAAGGGTCCAAGAGGACAAAAACAGAGTTTGAATGTTTGTTTGAGTCTTTTACAAAAGAAATGTTTTTTAGGATGTTCGCAATCTCAGTCGCACTAGAGACTATGACCCAGGAGTGAACGCTTCGTATGTCACCCAAAGGGTACCACACTAACATTCAGATTACTAGAGAGAGACCCTCCACCAACCTTTTCCAGATAGCTTAAGGCTCGTAACGTACGACTTCAATTAACCTTATTACTGTATTTTTGAATTGTTTTGAGATGAGAAGAGAAAGACACCCTAAAACTATGGTTGAAAGGAAATCTACCTACAGTTATCATGCATGGTTTAAAAAACCTAATGTCTATCATAATTCCCTCTTGCACAGAGGAAATCAGAGATCCTAGGGGAAACAGCAAAAGAAAGCAAGCAGTAAATAGTAAACAGTAAACAGTAAAATGCATGCTATGCAACAGTACAAGCGAGGCAAGGGAGTCCGGCTCAACCTCAAACCTAAGAAAACAACAGGCAAGAGGAGACAAGCTCCACCTCAAACCTAGAGGTAAGAAACATAAGCAAATAGACAATACAACAAACGAAAAGAAGCAGAGGAAGTAGCCCAAGCAGCAGCAACAGTCTTCAACAACTTCAATACTCAACAGCAGCTCTAAGCAGCAAATCCTCCTGACAGCAAGGTTGACAGCAAAATGACTTCATCTTCAAGCTATCTTCTATCTTCAAGCTTCTTCAAACTTCATCTTCAAGCTCTAGCAAGCACACTCCAAGCAGAGAATTAATCACCAAGATCAAGGTTGCAATGTTGAGAACCAAATGAAAACCAAAGGAAATCATCAAGTACCAACATTGAAATGGAAAGGCATCCTCAATGTTCTACTCAACTATGGGCATACCACACATCCCTTCAAAGGAGAGATGGAGTTTCCCTAGGAGGACTTTACATCATTAGATAGAATAGAAACACACAATGCATTCTATGTTTTATGAAAGAATAAAAACTAGTCCTAATAGCTCTTCCTAAAACCCTAATTTCCTAAGCTCCTAAAAAGATACTAAAAGAGAAGAAAGCTTCAACTCCAGGCTCCAATCTTCAAGCCACAGCAGCTACACCAAGTCCAGAAGACCTCCCAAGAAGGAATCCAAGCAACTCCATCCCCAAAGTCACCAACAATACCAAGCAAGCAAAGGCACACAAGATAGAACACCACAAGCACAAGCAACTTGCAAAATACAACTAAAATAGAAAACAAAGTTGTAAAAATCTAATAAATTTCCTAGAGGAACATACATGTTTGAACAATCTATGGTTAAAACATTAAAGCCTAATTCAACTTCTAAGTCATCTAAATAATTTCTAAGTTGAAGGGTATCAAAGTGATCCACAAGTTTGGGAAGGCTCTAATCTCAACACTAAAACAGAACCTAAAGTTGTTCTAAAAATCTAACAAAAATTCTAAGGGAACATACACATCTAACCTACAACATACTCAAAAATCAAATCCAGATTCAACACCAATTAAGAGAACAAAATTCAACAAGACAGATGATCAAATATGAAAATATTAAAGAATTAAACAAAATAAGAAAAATCAAATTAAATTGAAAAATGCATGAAAATGCATTTTATTGATTTCAGAAAATCACAAATTCTCTCAAGATCATGGAGGTATTTTTAAGATAATTTTTGGATCAAGAATGAATTTATTGTGATTTTTAGAATCGATAATGCATTAAAAATAATAAAAATGAAATAAACTAAATTCAAATGCTGAGAAAAAACACACGCCCTTGGATCAGTTGACAAGTCAAAACATCCAAAGACACACACGCTGCCAGCACATTATTTAAACGCCTGCGTTTTGGTTCCAAAATCTCACTTCTCAGATTATAACACATCCGTTAGATCTGGTGGTCAGTCAAGGTCAAAGGCATGATCTAACGGATCTGGACTCATCTTCTCCAATTATCAGGCTGGCTGGATGGAGAGCAGGGACGGTGGTCGGAGAAGACTCCGGTTGTCTTCTCCGGCGAAGGTCAAGTTACAGTCAACCAAAAATCACAAAGTCTATACCAATTCCACTCAGTCTCTCACGAGGATTTCAAATCTCCAACTCAAATTATCCAACTCTCAATGGATTTTAAAACATGAAGCAATGTTCAGAAATAACATCCAGATCAAACATCACCAATTGCCAAATTAAGACCATAGAAATCATCCTTATGCTACACTGATCATCCTGATCTAATCAACTTGCTCTAACTACTCATGAATCAAGATATTCGAATCCAAACAAAATTGCTATGTCAGGATCAACCATCACCAAATACTTTCAAACGGATCCTAAAATGATCTACATTGCACCTAGATCCTAACCACAAGTTCAAATCTAACTATCTCATGCTAATTCATGTAGAATCTTGAAAGTTACTAACCTGTTGTAGATCTAGTAATAGAGGCACTTGGAGCTTGATTCTCCCTTCAAAACTCTCCAGATACGTTCACTGATGCAAGAGGATGATGCTTCAACCTTCAATTTG